CAGGAAAAGAAAAACTTGTATAAATATTTTAATACTAAATTTATTGAGACATCAAGGGATTAATACAAGTTACCTTTGTCCTCTACAATTACAAGAGGTGCTCAAAGTGGTGGCCATTAGCTTTCAGACATTTATTAGTATGATGAACTGCTAAAGTGTACATACATTTTTGTCAGCCTCTCTCTCTCTCTCCATATATATATGTATATATACACACACATATATATATATTCAATCATACACACACACACATACATACCATACATATGTGTATGCATACACACACACAAGCTGGAGCTAATTTTAAGGAATTGGCTTAGGTAATTGTGGGGACTGGTGAGTCCAAAATCTGTAGAGCAGGCTTACAGGCTAGCATTTCAGCTAAGAGCTGATCTTGCAGTCATGAGTCTGCAGAAATTCAGGCAGAGTTTTTATGTTGTAATCTTCAGGCAAATTTCCTTCCACTTTGGGAAACTTCAGCCCACTCTTAGCCTTTCAACTGATAAGATGAGGCCCATGGGAGAATGTCCTTAAAAAGAATTGGGATCTCGCTATTTTCTCTTCCTATTTCTTTACTCCATGGCTGCCTCTTTTGCTGCACGCTTATGCCAGGACGTACTATGTGACCACAGGCCAAAAACAACTGGGGCAATCAACCATGGACTGAAACCTCTGAAACTGTGAGCCAAAATAAAACTTTCCTCCTTTTAAGTTAATTATCTCAGATATTTTGTCAGAAAATGACAAATACATATAAACAAATATACTTTACAAATATACTTTAATGAACCTATTAAGGTTTTAGATATTCTTAGTTGAGTTTTTGCACCTTTACTAAGTTGGAAGATTAAATATAACACAACCTGGATTTCCAGATTCTCTAGGAAAACAACGGCATTTAGCAATGGACCCATAGAATGATGCTGAATGGCAGTTGGATAGAGCTAGTTCAGGTGCCTCATTTCAGTCCATGGTACATACCCCAAAGAGAGAGGACTTAGACTGTCCAATTAGCCACAAGCGCTCCTCACCCTATTTAAATTACCAACCTGGTTCCTCTAAGTGGTACAGCTTAGGACCCTGACCTAAGCCATCCAGGGCCATTTTCCTTTGGAGCCCACCCTCCAGGCAGGCTCTTCCTGTGACACCATGCTAAGCAGTGTTCCCCATTCTTCACTCACCTGCATCTCCCAGGCTGATAATAAAGGCCCATTTTTCTGGAAACCATGGAGTCATTTCCTAGATCAATTATCACCTGCAACCTCATTCTGTTTCCTTCTGCCTTTTTTCTCTTCTGTTTAAAGTGAAAGCAAGCCAAGATCCAAAAGAAAAGCCAGCTTTCATCTGCACTCTCCCTAAAGAACAAATTAAAGTCTAAGTCCTAAGAGGAGTGACAGATGTCAAGTGGGGGCATCATCTCAGAACAAAACCAGCAACACTTTCATGTGGCTTGGAGGACCCAGGATGGTAGAGAATGAAGGGGATTTTCCAATGTAAGCAATAATGCAGTATTATTAATTCCAAAAGAGTTGCTAGATAAAATGTGAAAATTCAAGAGGTTCTCTGAACATTTATCTTATGAAGCAAATATTCTGGGGCTTTCAGAAATCTTCTATGAGATTAACAGAATCTGTTCACTTTCTATGCAGTTATTTTGTTTACTGTAGATTCGGCCTCTCTAAGTGAGGAAGATAGTATGGCCTATAAATAAACTGAACTTTCCTTGACCCTTTAGCTCAGCAGAAATACTAGTGATGAGTATGAAATGTAAATTGCTGGGTGAGGCCTGAACCAAGATACAAAACAAAATAAGGAAATTCTTCAAATAGATGCAAGTGTTCAATTAATGTGTCAGCAAATTCCTCAGGTTTTACTGTCCTCAAATTCTCTTCTCATAGCCAGTCTTTTCTGAAAAAATTCTTTAAAAGGCACATGTCCTACCGAGGTCCCGGTCACTCAGAACATGGCGAATCAGCCCACGCTCCGGCAACAATCCACTGGATCCCCCACCCCCCGCTACTTGGTACAGCCACCTGGTTCCATACTACAAAGACGCAGAGGACACCAGACCACCAGACCACGGTACTGAGTCCTGCTGCTCCCGGCCCAGAGGTAGGGACTTCTGAGCCGCCCTCCCACTGCTCCTGGTCCAGAGGAAGGGGCTTCCCAGCCACCATGCCTCTTGCTGATCCCAGCGCAGAGGAAAGGTATTTTGGGCCACCTTCTGTCCCGCTGCTCCTGGCCAAGAGGAAGGGGCTTCTGAGCCACCATCCCTCCCACCACTCCCGGCCCAGGGGTAGGGGCTTTTGAGCCACCATCCCACTGCTGCTGTACCAGAGGAAGGGGCTTCCTGGCTACCATCACTCCCGCTGCTCCCAGCCCACAGGAAAGGGCTTTTGGGCCACCATCACTACCGCTGCTCCTGCCCCTGTCCCACCTCTCCCAGCTCAGAGGAGGTAACCCGTGCAGGCACCAACAGCCCCCCTCCCAGTTGAAAT